ATCCTCCGTTGCCGGGCGAGCTCCAGGACACATGCTGATGTGCATGATGGTGATCGAAAGCTCGATGGGCACATGTCGGAATCGTCGGTTGTAAGTTTCTGCAGGCTAGCAGGACGCGAGCCGGGGATTGATCGAAGGTACACCCTACCCTTGCACTCAAGTTTGAGTCCACTGTGACATGACGCAAAACCAAACTCACAGTTGCACTGACTCTCTCTTACAGTCTTGTGAGTTCCCTAAACCCTAAGCCCTAAACCGTGCTTCTGCCTGCGTGCTCGACATGTCCGTCATCATCCGCCCGATACGAGTTAGGCTGCCAGAGGTTTAGGTTTCAAGACTTCAACGATCAGAAACCCTATAAACCCGAAAAACCCTATAAACCCTATAAGTCTATAATCCTTATAAGCCCCATAAGCCCTACAAGCCCTGTAAACCCTATAAACCCTATAAACCCTATAAGCCCTAAACCCTAAACCCGGGAGGTTTGGTAAAGCTCAGTTACGTCAAGGCGAGACTCGTATGAGTGCACTGAGCCCGATGCCCCAACATCCGCGACTCGGCCGTCCTTTGTTCTCCCCAATGACATGGGGGTTTCCGAAAACAAGGGGGTAAATTATTTGGGGTCCTTATAAAATCCACTATTTAGGGTACTATAATTTTCGGAAGCCCCCAAATGAGACCCGTCAGGATTTACAAAGCTGCCTGGAGTTTGTGGAGCAACGGAAGGTCCAGGCGAGGATAGAGATGATGCTGTTCGAGATCACAAGGGGGGCAAATGACGAGTATAGAAGCCTAGATAATTGTCGATACTAATTCGGGGGTTCCTTATTATAAGTAAAGTATAATATACCCCAAAACCCTATTCTAATTTGTTAAGGCCCCTATATTAGGTTGCAGGAGTCCTACTGCTTTCGTTCGCTGCAGGGTTCTCTTGATGTCGCTTACCTATACTACTACATATTGCTGCTTTTACTATGACCATCACTAGTTCCATCTTCCCACTTTTTTTCCGACGGTTCCCAGTGTTTTGCATGATGCTGACTGCTCGTCTTTGATTCGGCTGTATCTTTTGTGCGAGCTTGACCGTCATTGCACATGTCATTGCCGCGACCGTCTCACTATGCTCTTGAATGCCGTGATGCCTGTGATTCTGAAATGCGCTACTTGCATTAGCGGGACAGGGAACAGGTCACCCTCACGCACCATAGATGAGACCCTTGACGAATTCCTGGACCAAGCAAGAAGCCCTAAGAATATGGGCTTGCTATAGTATATTAATTCAGGAAACTACGCGGTTCACAGCCAGCCTCGTGACGGCCTGGGACACCAGAGGGAAGCCAACAGCACGAGTGCCGATGTAGCCTGCTGACATTGCTGAATCCACTGCCGTTGACATGTTTGCAGGTCGGTGTTCGATGACTTTAAGTCTGGCAAGCTGAAGCCTCAATACGCCCCTTAAACTCCTACGCTGGAGCTCTCTGCCTACTCCAGGGAATTAGGGTGTATCGGGCTTCGTCTACGACTACTCACTCAGTCATCCTTGTTTCGAGCCGTCTCCCTAAACCCTGATAGCCTAAACCGTCTTCCTGCTGCAGGGCAACGGACACCTGGCGATCCACGGTCGCGTTCGGGGTAGGGCACTCTTTCTTTCCTTAACACCCGAAGTAGCTCGGAAGCGCTATGTCCGCTATGTAGTATGGTCTGTGGGCCCAAAATGTTTTTGGAACATGAGTCCTTTGAGCTTTAGGGTATAATCACCCAATAGTTAGCTACTCTGAGCCCTGAACCCTAAACCCAAAGCCGCCACGGCATCATTTTAATATCGTTGGAGCCTGTTGGTTCGGGATACCTTTGCAGCGGACAAAGAGCTTCGCGGCCAACGGTTTAGGGTTTTTCGGTCTAGGGTTTAGGGGTTAAGGGTCTATAAGGGTTTAGGGTTTAGGGTTTAGGGCATTATCATCTTCAGAGAGTGCAGTCAACCCTTTCAGCAATGTACTGTGCCCCTCCGGAGGTTCCCAAACCTAGCCGGAACCCTAACCGCTAGCCGAAGATTCCGTCTCAACTGCACCCTCCTCAGTCAGAGTTGTCCAGCACCATATCGGTTGCAGGTTCGCTTTGGGGTTTGAGGTTTTGGGATTTTGCAAAAACCGAAGCCCTAAACCCTAAACTGTTGCAAGTGCGGATCCCGCGTTATTGGTAGTTGTCTACTTACAGCATCGGGCGACACGGTAGTTTGATAGCACGGGTGAGGGTAGTATGTACGCCGGACGGTAGGATCCTGGCTACAAGTGTTCTTACAACCTACCCCTCAAGCCACCTTGGTGCTTAGACGGGAGCCCCCATGCAGGAAATGCAGGGTCCACAACGTAAGGGAACCCAAGACTGTGTGCTAATGACCCAAAGGACGCCTGAAATGATATTCCCCTAATAAGGGTCCATGTACCCATATCGTAGATACTTTGGCCCCAAAGTACCCGAATAGGGACTACTTTAAGGCCAAAATATCTACTATTTGGGTACATGCACCCTTAGGGAAAGGACCCCTGAAGTGATATTCAGGAACGGTGATGCTGCAAGCATTGCGCGCGCTGCGAGGCGCTACGAGGACGGCGCAGGAAAGTGTCGAAGGTACTTGAGGTGGCCCAGACCCACACTGCTACGAAAGCTTGGGGTCTATAGCGTTTGCGGTTTTCCACCTTTTTGGGGGTTCCTTAATTGATTTCTGTATGCAGTTACTTAGGGTAGGTACTTTGAGGTTAAGGTAGTTTATAGGGGTTGAAGTACAGGGGTTCAGGCTTGGGGGACGGGCTCAGGGGCTTGGGGTTCAGGGTTGTTCTTCTCTGTGTCTTAGTGGTCTGTCGGCCCTGTAGGCTATAGCGTAGACCTGCTTTCGTTGTCGAGCATGCATTTCAGACTTCAGGCTTTAAGGCTGAGTCTGGCTCAGGACCGGCACGGAGCTCTTGCGGGTCATGCCCAGGCTTCTCTTTGAAGATGTTACAAAGTTGATCATCAAGGATTCAGATGTAACTTAGATCTTTCCTGCGAGCACCAAGCTACCGCGCTGTCCCATGCAGACCCGGCAACTTTATGGCATATAGTAGGGGCTTGAGGCTGCAGCCTTAAACCCTGAACTCCTCAGCCCACCATGGAGCCCCATGCATTTGATATCCTAACCCAAACCCACAATATTTCAGCAGTGTCGGTTCCGTGAACCCCATAGGTGCCTTATCGGAACCCTTACAGGAATCCCACCAGGAGACCCAATCCTGCCAGAGCCCGGTAAAGTTTTCTTCTGCGCCCCGGAGCTCAACAGCACATCGGAAGTTTAGGGTTTAGGGTTTTTCGGGTTTAGGGTTTAGGGTTTGGAGCTTCGGGTTGCATAAAACTCGGTCACCCTTAATCCCTAAAATGTGGGATCCTTGTCTGCATCTCGCCGGGAGCGTCCGCAGCGACTGCTTGCATATATCCCTAAACCCCTATAAACCTTCAAAAATCCCTTAACCCACCCCTGACACCCCTATAAACCCAAAAAATCTTTAAACCCCTATGAAACCTAAAAACTCCCTAAACCCCCATTCAAACCCTAAACAATCCCCAAACCGCTATAAACCCTGGTTTTAGGGGTTTAGGGGTTAGGGTTTAGGGTTTAGGGTTTGGGGATAAGCCAGCCCGAACTGCTTTCTGGTTTAGATGCCTCGGCTGGACTCGTCAGTCCAACTTCTTCTGCTTACCGGATGTTCGCAGGCTTTGCGTGGGCGTTTCCATGCCTGCTGGTAAGCTACTGCATACATCAGGACAATCAAGCGACTGTGTTTGCATATAGAGTTTTCAGCACAACCCAAACCCACTCGGAGGAGGGCATAGCGGCACTGGCTGGGCTCAAAGAAGGCTCGACAGAAGATGAACAGCACTGACATGTTCGGGTTTAGGTTTTGAGGGGTCCACATAGAGTTTAGGGTCTGTGAGTCTGCAGAAGAACAGAACCCGACAAGACGCAGAGTTTCCCTAATGTAGGAGCCTTTATAATTAGAATAGGGTTCTGGGCTCCTTCATAGCATAGTTCCAAAAAATTATCTAATAAATCTCACCCCAAAATGGTATTGATAATTACTTAAGCCCCTTAGGCCCCTACATTAAACCCGGCCCTAAACCACGGCTTCGTAAGATTCTCAGTTGTGTCGTGCCGGGAGCGAATCCCGTCTGAGGCGATTTCAGAACCATTCATTCGTATTCCTTATAGGGTAGCGTTGATGATATAAATCCTGTTTTACCTTAAGGCCCCTAAATTATGGGAGTTATGGTCTATTCCTAAGTACGGGTAATGCAGAATTTTTTATATCATCAATCGTAGTTCTCTGAGTGCGTGTCCCGTTGTTTAGGGTACTTTTTAAAGGGGCCCCTAAATCGGAGAACCACTCACATAATTCAGGGCTTTATTGGAATTTCTGGGTATAGGGTTCAAACCCTAATCCCTAAACCCTAAACCCTAAACCCTAAAGGGCCCTATCAGGGTCTGAGATAGAAGATGAAGGCTGAGGCTGCTTGATGTTTGATGGGTTGCAAAGGGGTCGGTTCTCTAAATTTACACAGAGGGGCGCCCGAAGATATATGTAGATAGCGGGAGATAGCGAGACTTAAGCGATGTTATACAAGTTCTGTTATCTTCGAAAAAATATCTCGCTATTTTTTTATATTCAGATATCTGAGGCTATCTTTTTTTGGTGCTTTTCAACACAAAAACACACATCATCTTATCCTGTTTTATAGCATTTTACATCTTTTTTCTTATTGCTGCTTTAAGCGACTCTACACCGCCTTTGGTCGATTCTCAGCGATGCGAAACCGCCGTTGGGGAGTTTGCAGGGGTGTATATACATAAACATGTATGGGTTTGGAGTTCAGGGGTTTCGGGATTACTGTATATATGGGGCTTGGACATAGATCGGTCTTCTGGGAGGAAGGAGACATGTTCATCAGCATGAGGTCACATATATGTTTTCTTACCGCACGGCTCGTACGAGGTCTTTGGTCTCACGAAGCCACCAGTGGGCTTGCGTGACATGTCGCAAGCCTCGCAATTCGCGAAGCCTAGCAGTGCGACGAAAGACGTTGCTGAAGACCCCGGCAGTCTCCCGCCGATACTCCACGACCTGCAGGAAAGGTCTGTCGGCAGAATCCCTGCAACATCTGAGCACCTCTGCAGGAAAAGGCTCCAGAAGGAAGTCGCCCTGTGTACAGTGGCGGCCGAGCAGTTTCACAGCCTTGTAGCTCTGCACAGCACCAATTCCATAGGGAACAGCGGTGGGCTTCCCCATGAACATCTCGGCCTGCTTCTCGAAGAAAGTCCGAAGCTGGTTGTGGCAGGAAACCACCATTCTGATCGCCACGGCCCGGGACCAGTTTTCTCCATGAGTCGCTGCATCATAGTTTTTTTGGGCCACTCCCTTGTACATCTGGTGCTTGCTCTCACAGGCAGCTGTGTCCATATATCTTCCAAACTGCCGTATTTGGTCCGCAGCATGGAATCTCCAGTGATGCTTCGGGCGAAGGATCTCAGAGCCATATGCCCGGATGCTGAGGAGCTGGTGCCGTGTCTGCAGCTCCTGCAGAGTATTCGTGCAGCGAACTTGGCTGAAGCGCTTCAGCCGGGAGAGCTCTTCGTGAATCTGCAGGAGCATGTCAAAGCTCGCCAGCTCCAGGCTCAGGTCCTTCTTGTACTATCAGGGTAGACCCTTGTTCCTATATACTATTCTGTTTGAGTCAGCAAACCTATAAAAAGAATAAGCACCAAATGGTTGACTACCCAGGAGCCTGGCCTGGTCTGTATCCAACATCTCAAGCAAGGCAGGGAGCAGTGGCATCAGTTGCTGGAGATCTGCAGCTTTGGATTTATAGCCTCCTTCCATGAAGCGAGCCGTGTCCAAGAGCCGGGCTCGGGTGGACGGCCCGGAAAAGCCTTGCACATGTCCGGGCACCTGCCAGCAATGCTCCCGCAGAAGGGCAGCCAGGTGCTCATGCTCAATTTCGAGAGTGGAGCAAGCTCGGTCCACGAGGAGGGCCAGCTCTAGCGAGGCAACACCTCCTTTGGTGTAATATATATGTAGAAAATCATACATCCAGATACTGGGAGGCAGCTGGCTTCGAGCCCAGGCATCCTGCAACAGGCTGTCCGGATTGTAAACCACACCGGACAGAGTCTCCTCCTTTTCGAAAGCTGTTTTGGACAGCAGCACCTTCTTTCTCCGTTGCTCGTCGGAGAACTCAAAGAGGTCCGCATCGGTCATGGCATCCCAATTGGCCCGGTCCACGGACGCGATGTCTTCAAGGTATCCGTCCAGGCAGCCTGTCACTGCATGACCCCTCATAACAATGTTCTTGCAATTGAAGCAGGGTTTTAGACCTGCTGCACCTTTGCAAGACAAGGCTTGTCTTAGTGCTTCGCCGTCTGCTATCACTGCTGCGATTCGCACTCGCACGATGAACGGCGCCTGGCCGGCAGACTCAAGCAGAAAGCCGCCCTGGAGTTGCTCCGCAGGATTGGTCTGCAAAAAGTGGCGGAGGATCTTGCCGAAGTTGTGGTGTTTCAGGGTTTCTGATCTGATGACACTGACAGGCCACCACAAAGCAGGATCCTGTGTGCCAATCTCTTTGCACCCGATGTACATGATGCATGCTTTTTTGGCAGGATCCGGTGCAAGAACGTTCCCGGCAGTAGCCTCATCGAAGGAGAGTACCAGGCTCAGAGGCTCCTCGGCAGCGCTTTGTGAAGCTTTCCAAAAAGCATTAAAAAGCGCCGGAGTTCGGGCACAGAGAAGTCGCAGCAGTTCAGGCAGCTTGGCCACGGCTACGTTTGCTTCGTCAAGCGGCAAGAAACTCCATACTGCTTCTCCCCCGAGCTGGTATGCAGCTCTCGTGACCGTGCGTTTGTCGCAGCCCAGCTTTTCTGCAGCATGCACGTAAGAGGTGTCAGGTCGTGCCAAAGCTTCGGCAACCTTTCGCAGCCATGTTTCAGACTCAGACTGCACCGTCGACTGCTTTCGCTTTGTCTCCATGGGCCATGGTTACACGGACAGGTATAGGCAGATACCTGCACTGTTTATCTACATGGCTGCTTGGTGCTTGCTTTCGGCTGCCAGAAGACTGTGTGTAGAAAAAAGTGCTTGCTGTTATCTGCAGCGACCCAAAGAGCCGCCGAATGAATTGTAAATCTCCTTGGAACAAGAAGCCTCGCCCAAAGAAGTGGTTCACGTGCAGCGAGGCCAGAGGCTCGCCGTTGCCAAAGAAAACAGCGACTCAAAGAGCCGCCGAAAGAAGCTATATTGGCCCGCTTTTGCCACTCAGAACAGCGACTCAAAGAGCCGCCTCAACAAGTGCTTGTCCTATTATACAGCGACGCCATAGAGGCCCGCCGTTGCTACTGAAGACAGCGACTCAAAGAGCCGCCGAAAGAAGTGCCCACGTTCTTTTATGCACCCCTCAATCAGCATGAGGGTCGTCACGACAAACCCGGCTTTGCGGGGGGTACAACGATCTGGCAAGGTCCCGGCACACGTAGTCAGCGTCCTTTGCGAGGCGTTGTACCGTGACCAAAACCCGCCGCAGCGAGAGCAGCTTTGCTTCGAGCTCTGCGCTTTTCGGCGCACGAGAAGCAGCAGTTGTCGTTTTTGGTGCTGCTGCCAGTGGAGGTCGCGAAGACGACGAAGGCTCTCCTGGCGGACGAAGCGGTGCTCCTGGACGTCCTTGCTGAGCTGCCGGTCCAGGAGGTTCTTGCTGAGGTGGCGGTCCAGGAGGCAGAGGTGGCGAGAGAGCGCGAGGAGGTCCTTGCGGAGGTGCTTGGCGGCCTCGGCCGGAGCGGCGGCACCACCACCCGTGCTTGCGGTGGCCTCACCTGCAGAGGCCTAGGAGCCGGTGCCGCCTTTTCGACTCGCCAGGGAGGCTTTGGCACGGTCTGCTCTGTCTCCGGTGCGACCGGCTCCGCCTTCTTCGCCTCTGCCGGCTTTGTCACGGGCGGCTCTGCAGCCGCTGCAGGCGCGGCCGGCTCTGGCGGCTCCTCCCTTTTGGCCTCCGTCTTTGTCTCCTGCTTGCTGTCCTTGGCAGCTCCGCCCCGGCCTTTCTTGGCCTCCTTGGCCTTAGCCAGGCCCTTGCCCCGCTTGGGCTCTGTGTCCAGGCGCTTGCCGCCTTCCTTGGCCTTGGCCTCGGCTTTGGGGATTCCACCCCTTCCAGTCGCCGCTGCAGCCTTCGCAGGGGCAGCAGAAGCTGCTTCAGCAGGCGAGGGCTCCTGCAGGGACTCTTCTTTACAAACAGTATACCCCCAAAAAAACTGTTTACTATTTCTGTGTTGTTTCCCGCGAGCGACCCAGAGGGCCGCCCTCGCCAGAGAAATTTGGAGTCTCCCCGCCTCTTCTTCGAACGGGGGCGTCGCAGCCGTCTCCGCAGCAGCCGCCGTGTCCACAGCAGCCGCCGCCGTTTCCAGAGCAGCCGCCGCCGCCACCAAGGGGGCGAAGGGGTCGTAGTCCTTGTCCTCCTCCTCCTCGTTCTTGGTGCCAAGACCCTTGCCTCTCCTCCGCTTCTTCCTTAGCGGCTCGTCGGGCTCCGGGCTCGACATGCCGATCTGCTCCAGGCTCCGAGCAGAGCGGCTGCAGATATTGCTCACTTCGGCACTGTCCTTCTGCAGCGAACCACGGGACCGCTTCAAGCTCCGGCGACCAATGTGGCCGCCTGTATTCGCTATAAGCCCTATATATCTCTACAAGCGACCTATCTATAGAAATACACGTTTGTATATAAGAGGCCGCCTCTGGCTCTATTTATATATGAGATAGATAGATAGATACATATATGAAACTAGCTACATGATGTCTATAGCAAACAGCCATATAGAGCGACTCCTGAGGGCCGCTTGCATTGCAGAGGTACATGCACAGACGCAGAGAGGGTGTGTTCGAATGCTGTGCTTCTTTTACTGGCCCCGCTTCTCTCTGAGTCGCAGCAGGGCTAGACGTCTGCCACCCACTGGTACTTGAAGTTGTTGTCCTTCCTGTTCTTCTTCTCGACCTCCTTGACCTTCTTCAGCTTCGCCGACTTCTTGGCAGCCGCCGCGAGCTTCCTGTGCTTCAGCGAGGTCTTGCCCTTCTTCTTCTTCTCGAAGACCTCCGCACCCTCGGCCTCGGCCGTCTCCAGCTTGCCAGGCAGCACTGCCGTCTCCGTCAAGACGTCCGAGGCCGCAGGGCTCCTTGCAGTCTCCTGAGCCCTTGGCCTCTCCTGCAGGCGAGCAGCCACCGCCGCATTGCCCTGCAGGCTGAAGGCCCCTCGTATGGACATCACGTCCATGACTCTGGCGGCTCCCGACCAAAGCCGCACCACACGGCCTTCCTGCAGCAGCTGACCACGGAGTCGCCGCGACATGCTGCCCGCTAAACACCTGCTACGAGCAAAGCAGCTGCCGGCGCCGCCAGCTTGCAGAAGATGCTCCCTCCCTTGCAACTTGCATGCAGCGACCCAGGGTGGCCGCCGTCTGTCTGTATATATACATATATAGGCCATGTTCATTGCAGCGACACTATACAAGGCCGCCGTCTACACATATGACATGTACATATATACTTATACATATACATATATATATATATATCTGATAGAAGTTCTAGAGCTACAGCGACTCTATATAGGCCGCCGTCTATACGTGGCAAAAAAAGCGAGGAAATGTACAGAGATGTATATGGCTCATCCCTGCGATCTCGAAATCCTTTTCTTTCTGGAACGTGCACCAGGTCGTGTCAAAAGAACACGTGCCGGAGCTAGTGGTACCGACCCTGCTCCTGCGACAAGCCAATATATCCGGATACAAAGCAAGCCTGCTTTGAGTTGCGGTTACATGTAGGTAGCCTAAGCATGTCCCCTTGCATCCAGGATACAGGGGCCTGTGCAGGCAGGGTCTTCCGCTCGTGGGCCCCCCAGAGGAGGTAAGAAGCTTGTGGGCCTCACAAGTGAGGTAGAAAACTCGGAACTTCAAGGCCTCTCTGTTGGAGGCAGGAAAAGAAAACCTGTCCAGACTCAGCCCTGGGTCTGCTCCTCCGGCTTCTTGGCAGCAGCCTTCTTGGCAGCTCTCTTAGGCTTCGCGGCGGCCAAACTGTTCTTCAGCAGAGTCGCCTCTGTCGTGACGTGGAGGGCCTCGAAGCTGAGAGTTGCCCCCACCGTAGCCTGGGCCAGGAAGGTCTGGGCCTCTTGCAGGAGCTGCGGGGCCTTGCTGCTGCTTTTGGCCTCTTCCGTCACCTTTGCAAGCAAAGGCAAGAGCTCGGCCACAGCCTTGGAAGCCGCTGCAGTGTTCTTCTTGAAGTCCTTCTGCAGCTGCTTGTTCTTGACGGCTTCCCTCTTCAGGCGCTCCCGCCTCTCCTGCTTGGTCTCGTTGCCGTTGTCCTCCTCCTCCTCGGCCTCGGAGAGCAAGTCCAACTCCTGTGGCGGCTCAACTGCTTCAGTTCCAGCTTTCAAGGCCTTTCTGCCCCGGCGAGCTCTCAAGTTCACCGTCGTGCTTTCCTTTCTCTTCAGGCTGGTCTTCTCGTGGTCGTGCTCGGAGATGACAGGCATCTTGTAGCAAGGTCCCAGGGTCGGGTGGTCCAGGAACTCGCCGGCGGACTTCACCAGCTCTGGGTCCCAGCCCTTCATGACCTGGACGGACAAGGGCAGGAAGTCGCCGCCGACGGAGCTGCTCTTCTCCTTCGTGGTGCTCTTCTCCACGGTCATCTGCACTGCAGTTGACACTTTGTCGTGAACCAACCTGCCGGTGCGCTCGTCTGTGTACTTCTTCACGTCGCGGTAGAACTCCACGAGCTGGTTCGCGGGCAAGGAGGAGAACTCTTCGGGCAACTGCAAGCCGGAGGTGAACACAGAGAGCCTGTTGCACGGTCGGCACAGCCAGGAGTGCTTGCTTTTCTGAAGCAAGAGCCGCTGTGGCAGCTCGAGCTTGCACTTGTTGCAGGTGCCAAGCTGCTCTTCTACCAGTGCAGTAGCCTCTTCCACGGCCTGCTCCAGCTGGGTCTCCGCCGTGTCCATGGCTGCAGCCATGGTCCAAAGCAAGGGCTCGCAGGGCTAGTTTTGGACACAAAACTGCTGCCGGCCGGACCCGAATTTGATTCTATCGGATTCTAGTGCGTTCTAGTGTGGACCACCTGCTGGCCGTTGGCCTGGCTCCAGTTTTAATAGGA